CCCAGCACGGCCCCAGTCACAGCTGGAGCCCTCACAGTGCTTTGGGGACACCTGCACTCTGGGGCCTTCCCCATTTTTTTCCGTGTGGCTTTAAACATGCCAGGAATCTCAAGTCCTGGCAATCTTCTTCTTCACCTCCCCCCAGGCACTACTTAAACTTCTGAGACTGGTAATTCTTCATATAAGGTTGGTAATTTGCTCCAGGTGTCTTTGGCTTCCTGCCAGGGTCTGTGAGCCCCTGCCAGGGCTTTGAGCCATCCAGGGCACCCAGAGGGGTGTCCTGGGTGCTGACATAAAATGTGACCAGCCCAGGAGACCAGAGGAGAGCTGCTCTGAAGTGAACCTTCCTGGGGTGTGCTTAGTGGTGAGATGGATCCTTGTCACTAGCCCTGAGCTCCAAGGACGTCTGACAGCACTGTGCTGCTCCTCAGCGTGAACTGAGCTGCCAAGAGCTCCTCTTGGCCAAGAAACAATGGATTGCAGGCCAAAAGGGCCAGTCTCAGAGTATGTGACAGCCCCCCTCCCCCTGGCCCACAGGCCCACTGCCCCAAAGGACAGGGACTGCCCCAGACCCTGCACCCTGCTCAGCTCCATTGCCCCTATTGCAGAAAGGATCCCTTGAGGAGCCCTGCAGTGCACGCCAGGCCGATGTCCCCAGCCTGGCTGGAGCTTTGGAAACCTTCCTGGAGCTGATGGAGACCTGCAGGCAGCAGAGGGGAGAGCAGAGTCCCAGAACAGAGCCAGGCTTGGCAGTGCCCATCCCTGCAGTGTCCCCTGCAGGTGGCACTGAGTGCTCTGGGCTGGGCACAAGGTGGCCATGGGGCACAGCTGGCACTGCCTGGGCTGGCAGGGCTGTGCCAGCACCAGGGATTTGGGATTCTGGTCTAGTGTACCCCCCCAGGGTCTGATGCAGCCAAGCTGGGCTCTGGTCCCACTGCACCCCACAGATGTCCCCCTGTGGCCATCCCAGCCCATCCCAGCACAGCCCCAGTCACAGCTGGAGCCCTCACAGTGCTTTGGGGACACCTGCACTCTGGGGCCTTCCCCATTTTTTTTTTTTCATGTGGCTTTAAACATGCCAGGAATCTCAAGTCCTGGCAATCTTCTTCTTCACCTCCCCCCAGGCAGCTGCCTCTGCTGATGGTGCTCCCAAAACTTCATCAATCCTTGGGGAGCACAGGGGCAGGGAGCACAGCTCCCAGGGAAGGCAGTGCAGGCAGGAGGGCTGCCCCATGGCACAGAGCCCTTCCTGCTGCCCAGCCCCAAGCCCTCACCCGGCTCTCAGGGGACGCTGCTCTGCAGAGACCTGAGATGTTTTCCTGCCTGACACATCAATCCCAGCAGGGAGCTCTGCATCTCCCCCGCTACCTCAGGCGCAATTAGAGACAGGAGCCAGAGAAGGTGGCAGCTTTTAACCCCCTCGGTGCCGATAACCTCTCAAGCAGGGCTGTGCTTCGCTGTTCTGTACCTGGTTTCTTCCAGGGTTTTGATTTGGAGGAGATCTAGGAGCCATGACAGAGTCACAGAAGGACTTCTGTTGGAAAGAGACCTGAGATGTTTTCCTGCCTGACACATCAATCCCAGCAGGGAGCTCTACATCTCCCCCGCTACTTCAGGAGCAATTAGAGACAGGAGCCAGAGAAGGTGGCAGCTTTTAACCCCCTCGGTGCCGATAACCTCTCAAGCAGGGCTGTGCTTCGCTGTTCTGTACCTGGTTTCTTCCAGGGTTTTGATTTGGAGGAGATCTAGGAGCCATCACAGAGTCACAGAAGGGCTTGTGTTGGAAGGAACCTGATAGATCACCGAGTTCCAACCACGTGCCATGGGCAGGGGCACCTTCCACTAGACCAGATCCCAAATCCCTGGGGCTGGCACAGCCCTGCCAGCCCAGGCAGTGCCAGCTGTGCCCCATGGCCACCTTGTCCCCAGCCCAGAGCACTCAGTGCCACCTGCAGGGGACACCTGCAGGGATGGGCACTGCCAAGCTCCCTGGGCAGTCCCTGCCAAGGCCTGAGCACCCTTTCCATGGGCAAATTCCTGCTGCTGGCCCAGCTGAGCCTGCCCTGGCCCAGCCTGAGGCCGCTCCCTCTGCTCCTGTCCCTGTTCCCTGGCAGCAGAGCCTGATCCCCACCCTACCCTTCCCCAGCTCCATTGCCCTTCTCTGGGCAGTTCAAGGTTAAATTTGGGTTTAATTGCTGGGTTTGCAGTTAAGACTGTTGTGGTATGTATTAATGATCCTTTCCAAACAACAGCAATCTACCCCTTCTGGCTGCTTTTCATCCCCAGCTCTAATCCAGGCGTGGAGAGGGAAGTCAGGAGCACCATCCCCACGGCACAGCTGGAGGATGATGATGCAGCCAGGCAGATTTGGGAACCTGAGCCGTGTTTGTTCAGTTCACTCGGTGCTGGGTGTCACCCCGCACCCCTGGGCTGTGCTGTGTGGAGCTCAGGCAGTGCAGCCCCTCTGTGCCAAACCTTCAGCAAAGCCAACTGCAATCAAAACGCTGAGCAAATAAACCCCTTCCATTACTGGGAGCTGTATCCAACCCCAAGGCAGCCGGGAGACTCTGGGACAGCAGTGGCAAAGGTGGGGAAGGGCTGGAGCACAGGGGAGCTCAGCCTGGAGCCTTGTGGCTCTGCACAAGTCCCTGCCAGGAGGGGACAGGAGCAGAGGGAGCGGCCTCAGGCTGGGCCAGGGCAGGCTCAGCTGGGCCAGCAGCAGGAATTTGCCCATGGAAAGGGTGCTCAGGCCTTGGCAGGGGCTGCCCAGGGAGGAGAGGAGAGGAGAGGAGAGAAGAGAAGAGAAGAGAAGAGAAGAGAATACTTGGAGGTCAGAGGAGATCTTCTAGGAGAAGACAGGATGCCAGGAAATCTTCTAGGAGATCTCCAACTGCTACAGCCCCGTGTGTGCGTCCTTGTTGCCTCTGTTGCCACCTCCAGGCCCCTGTGACTCCCAATCCTCTTCCCACCTCTCCCATCCTCCTTTCTCTCCCTCCCTTCAGCCTCTCCTGCCTTGTCCCAACCTTCCCTTTTCAGCCAAGTGAACCCAGCCCTTCCCAGTTAATCTGGGCCAGCCCACCTCTGGCTCTGGCCCCGCTCACGGAGGAGATGTGGGCTGGGTGTCCCCCTGGTGTGGTTGGGGTTTTCCTTGTGCTGCAGGAGAGGTGACCTGGGCCCATTCCAGGAGGAAGGGGCTGCCTTGGCACAGACAGGTGCCATGTTCCAGCGTGTTCTGTTCCCCAGCAAAGCAGCACTCCACGACTAAACTTTGGAAAACAAGACGTGAGTGAGTTTTATCTGCACCCAGGAGAAATCAATCCATCATGCTTTCCTGCTCCCAGCCTCTATTAACTCTCTGAGAAATAAATGACTAGAAAATACAATACAGCATTCCGGGGTAGTTCATTCATTTTTCTTTATTAATTTTTTTCTCAGCACAAGAGGGAAAGAAAGGAACATATGGGGAATGAGCAGGAGCCATTTCTCAGTGCCATGGCCACCTGAAAAGGGTTTAGACCCATAATGCCTCTGAAAAATTCATTCACATTTCCCAAATCAATCAGTGCCATGGCCACCTGAAAAGGGTTTAGACCCATAATGCCTCTGAAAAAAATTAATTCACATTTCCCAAATCACATTAGGCAGGTACAGATTGTTTTCATTTTTATGATTTTTTTTACCCTTCTAAGCTCTATTAAACCAGAATATGCCAAAAATGACGGGACAGAATTGCCTTGAAGTCCCAGATGAGAACTGTTTGTAACCCGCCTAAATGAAAGTATTTATTTTGAAATAAATTGGGGTTGGATTTAGCAGAAAAGGTTATACCACGACTGAAGCTGTACCAGCACAGACTACAAAAATGAGGCTTTTGTTACTATCAGAATTCATCGGAACTGGGAAGAAACTGCACCAAACCCCACCAAACACTGCAGCACTGGGGGCCCTGGCAGAGCCTTTGGTGAGATCTCCCATCCAAAGTCATGGCCAAGGGCCCCTGAGCTCTGGGACCTCTGCCCTAGACAGCCAGTCCATGAGGAGAGGCTGAGGAGCTGGGAAGGGGCTGAGGGTGGAGCAAAGGAGGCTCAGGGGCCCTTGTGGCTCTGCACAAGTCCCTGGCAGGAGGGCACAGCCGGCGGGGTCGGGCTCTGCTGCCAGGGAACAGGGACAGGAGCAGAGGGAACGGCCTCAGGCTGGGCCAGGGCAGGCTCAGCTGGGCCAGCAGCAGGAATTTGCCCATGGAAAGGGTGCTCAGGCCTTGGCAGGGGCTGCCCAGGGAGCTTGGCAGTGCCCATCCCTGCAGTGTCCCCTGCAGGTGGCACTGAGTGCTCTGGGCTGGGGACAAGGTGGCCATGGGGCACAGCTGGCCCTGCCTGGGCTGGCAGGGCTGTGCCAGCCCCAGGGATTTGGGATTTTGGGATGCTAATGCAGACACGGGGGTTTGGGAGCACCTGGGCCTCGTGATGGAGTGCAGGTCGGAGCAGTGCTGCTGCAGCTCCCCCTGAAAGGTCTGGGCAGGGTCTTGTGCCACCCCTGGGGCAGCCAAACCCACGGTGACCAAACAGGAGCTCAGCCCCAGCGCGCCTGCAGCCCCTCCCTGAGGGATCTGCGTGTCTGGGAAAATCCCTGATCCACCTCGAGTGTGAAAGGCTCCAACCCACCTCACCTGGGGGGGTCTTCAGGAATCCCCTTTGAGGTGTAAAAGGTCCCCTCAGGAAGGCTGATCCTTCTGCTAAAGGGATCCAAGGCAGCCCCACAGCACAGAGCCTGGAGTTCAGCTCCATCCCAAAAGTGCTGAGGTGGATTCCCTGTGCTCTGCTCACTGCCCTGGCCCTGGGCTGCCTTCCCTGAGGATGGAAATTGGACAGATCTCTCCTCAGGGAGGATTTGCCCATGGAAAGGGTGCTCAGGCCTTGGCAGGGCTGCCCAGGGAGCTTGGCAGTGCCCATCCCTGCAGTGTCCCCTGCAGGTGGCACTGAGTGCTCTGGGCTGGGGACAAGGTGGCCATGGGGCACAGCTGGCACTGCCTGGGCTGGCAGGGCTGTGCCAGCCCCGGGGATTTGGGATAATGGGATGCTGATGGAGACACGGGGGGTTGGGAGCACCTGGGCCTCGTGATGGAGTGCAGGTCGGAGCAGTGCTGCTGCAGCTCCCCCAGAAAGGTCTGGGCAGGGCCTTGTGCCACCCCTGGGGCAGCCAAACCCACGGTGACCAAACAGGAGCCCAGCCCCAGCGCTCCTGCAGCCCCTCCCTGAGGGATCTCCGTGTCTGGGAACATCCCTGATTCACCTCGAGTGTGAAGCCACAGTTCATGAGGATGAGAGCACTGAGAGGGGTTCCCATCAATCCATCCACCTCTCCAAGGCGTGCCAGAGGATGGTGCCAGACTCTGCTCAGTGGTGCTAGTGACAGGACGTTTCAGGAATTCCCAGTGTGGAACACCTTTGGCTTGGAATCGAGACTTCCTTCAGCGTGGAATAATCACTGACATTTATAACTTGCTTATTTTTTTCCCTTGAGATGTTTTCATTTTATTGAATGCAATTACTAATTTAAATTATTTTTACGGTTGCCACCAGTAACTCTGACTCAGAAGTTTTTCCACAGCATCTGCTATGAGGAGGTTGAGGGGTCTTGACAGAGCACACAGCAGGTTAGAACAAGACCACAGAGGTGGATGTTCTTTCTCTGAAATACCTTTCTGCATCTCTAACGTCATTTTGGACAGGTGTCCTGTAATTATTTTACTAAAATAATGATGCTACATGCAAATTTTCTGGCAAAACTTCTGTAGTGTGACTGTGCCCCACGTGAAAACAATGAATTAACTGAATCATCCCAAACCATGCGGCATTTTCTCTGCCCTGCCACGGTTAGAGGTGAGAAGGGAGCCAAGAGGAGCAGTGCTGGGACATCTGTGTGTTTGCTGAGTCACTTTTCCCTTCTTGTGGAGCCTTGCCAGCTCGGGCTTGGATTTAGATCACTGCCATCATTTCTCTGAGTTTGGTGAGGGCAGACGCTCTGGGAAGGAGTTTACAATCAGCTTTTCCTGGTGGCAGCACCTCAGAGCACACGGGGAGGACACGGAGAGCACGCAGCACCGACGGCTCTGGGTGTAAAACGAGGTGAGCCAGGGTGAGGACACGGGGCGGCGGCCGGGTCACCGCGGAGCTCTGGCAGTGACGTGGATCAGGCTCAGGATCCTCCTCTGGATCTGCTTGGTCCTCACCCCGTAGATGATGGGGTTGAGCACGGCGGGCACCAGGATGTAGATGTTGCCCATGATGATGTGGACCAGCGGGGCCAGGTCCTTGCCGAAGCGGTGCACCACGGAGAGCCCGATCAGGGGCACGTAGAAGGCCAGCACCACGCAGATGTGGGCGATGCAGGTGCTGAACACCTTGAGCCGCTCCCTCCAGGCCGCCAGGCGCAGGACGGCCTTCAGGATGAGGAGGTAGGAGAGGCAGATGAGCACGGCGTCCAGCCCCATGACCAGCAGGATGGCGGTGAGCCCGTACACCACGCTGGGCGTGGTGTTGGCGCAGGCCAGGTTCATCACGTCCTGGTGCAGGCAGAAGGAGTGGGACAGCAGGCGGGGGCCGCAGAAGGGGAGCGGCAGGAGGAGCAGGGGCAGCGGCAGGAAGAAGAGCACGCCTCTGGCCATGGCCAGCAGGCCGATCTTGGCCGTGGCGCCGTTGGTGAGCACGGCGGCGTGCCGCAGCGGGTGGCAGATGGCCACGTAGCGGTCCACGGCCATGGCCAGCAGCACGGTGGACTCGACGGCCGAGAGCGTGTGGATGAGGAACATCTGCAGCAGGCAGGCGGCGAAGCTGATCTCGCGGCTGCCGAACCAGTAGAAGCAGAGGGTGCGCGGCACGGTGGCGGTGGCCAGCGCCAGGTCGATGGCGGCCAGCATGCAGAGGAAGAAGTACATGGGCGCGTGCAGGCTGGGCTCGGCGCGCACCACCAGCAGCACGGCGCCGTTGGCCAGCACGGCCAGCACGTAGGCCGAGCACAGCGGGATGGCCATCCAGGACTGCGCCGCCTCCAGCCCCGGCAGGCTGGCCAGGATGAAGGACGGGCTGAGCTCAGAGCTGTTGGAGAAGGGCATGGCCCGCAGCGCCGCGGCCGCTCATGCTATGCCCGCGCGCTTCCTGCTGCAAGGGAAACGCAAACGGGACCTTTTATGAGCCCTTTCCCATGCCTTGGGATCCCACAGGGCCATCCCGGGGATTCTCAGGGCTGCCGCGCTGATGCAGAGAGCTCCTCTCTTGGTTTTTTACCCCGTTATGGCTCTGTGCAACAACATATGTGGTGACAAAATGCTGACATTTGAGTTCGAACAGGAATTGCCTGAATTCTCTAAAAGGCAGAACACCGTAAAATCGACCTTTTGAATAATAAACCCATCAGCTGAACTTGTTTGCTTTTGTCTTTAAAGGACAAAATTAAAAGTGATAACAAAAAACCCGGCAGACTTTTAGTGCTTTCTGTAATACTTCAGTGCTGCTTGATTTTTTCCATATGTGCTGTGGTGGCCTGTCAGAAATGTGCTCAGTGAGGCTGAAGCTGGCAGTGCTGCCTCCCACGACCCAGCCCTCCCCAGAACAGCTCACAGGCACAGGAAGACATGGATCTTTCAAATTTTTTTGCACATACAAGTTGGATTTTCATCCTATGAAAAACATGTATGGAAAAAAACCAGAATATCTTAAAAAACTCCCCAAAAACCAAAAAAACCCCAGATTATTTACCTTATTCTGTATTTGTAGATTTTCCAGGAGTGCTGTGATCCAAGGATGATGACCTGAAGATACATAAAAGGCTTTGCTTTAGGTACCTTTCTATTTTCAGGCACCAAGCCAGTACCTGTGCTGGAATAAAGTCACCATCCCTCCTGCCCTGGATGGGCAGCACAAGGTCAAGCTCAGCCTGAGCTTTCTGGTTCTTCCTTTGTGCCCAGTCTGTGCAAATTAACCATGCAAAGTGGCTTTATGGCAAGCTCTGCAGGTTATTAATGGAGTTATTTTATAAGTAATGTTGGGTTGTGAAACATGGGGTTTTTATTGCACATCTGTGCTGAAGGCCTGAAATAGCACCAGGCTTTATTCTCCTGATGTGGGGCTTTTCCATCTCGGATGTATAACAAGTAGGACTCACATTGTAGCTTTTTATACCCGATTTACACACAGTGTGGGAGGACTGTTGCTGTCACTGTGCCCAAAATCTATTCCAGGGATGATGTTATCAGCCAAGCATTTGAATTAAGACACAGATGGAATGAAGAAGGAGCCTCAGTAACCACCAGCAGGTACTGAGGCACCTCAGCTGCCAGCCCTGACGGGGTTACCTGAGTCCCACTGGAAAACTTCTGCCCTCCTGATCATTTCCCTGAGGGAATGGGGCTGTGAGACAGGCACTGAAACAACCCCTGGTGATGCTTCAGTTCGTCTCTAATTCTCTGGCACTGATAAATGTAGCCAGGTTTGCATGAGTGGCTTGGGATTTGGGATTGCTGGTGGGCAGAGCTGGTGCTGTGAGGGCCTGGGTTTCTGCAGAGCTGGAAACTGGATCCATGCCTTTGAAACACCAGCAAATGCAGATTTATTTGCCATGGGGGATCCAAGCAGCACACCCAGCAGTAAATCACAGAATCACTGAGGCTGGAAACCCGGGATCATTGAGTCCAACCTTTGACCAATCCCTGCCTTGTTAAAGGACCATGGAATGGTTTGGGTTGGGAGGAACCTTAAAGTTCATCCTGTTCCTTCTCCTGCCATGGCAGGGACACCTTCCCCTGTGCCAGGCTGCTCCAGCCCCAGTGCCCAGCCTGGCCTTGGGCACTGCCAGGGATCCAGGGGCAGCCCCAGCTGCTCTGGGCACCTGTGCCAGCCCTGCCACCCTGCCAGGGAACAATTCCTCATTGCCAAGATCCCATCCATTGCTGCCCTCTGGCACTGGCAGCCATTCCCTGGGTGCTGTCCCTGCAGGCCTTGTCCCCAGTCCCTCTGCAGCTCTCCTGGAGCCCCTTCAGGCCCTGCCAGGGGCTCTGAGCTCTGCCTGGAGCTTCTCCTCTCCAGGCTGAACAAGCCCAGCTCTCCCATCTTTCCTCTCCTTTTTTCTCCTTCTCTGCCTTCTCCCTCTTTCCCTTCCCCTTCCTCTCTTTATCTCTCCCTCTTTCATTCCCCTCCACCCCACTCTCCCAGCTGTGCTGACAGATGTGCTGACAAATGCCCACACTTTGCCCTCCAACTCCCCCACAAACATTTCCTTACTGTGGCAGAGGCTCCTCAGGCTTTTTGTTCCGGAGCCGTTTTGGAGAACAGCAGCAGCCAGGAAACACGGACATCCAGGGAAGAACTCTGGAAGTTTTCAGAACAGGAGCAGACTCAGAATCTTCTCAGAATTCTCAATCACGAATTTCAGACTCCCGTGTGAGGATGCTGCAAGCCAGGCATCCCCACAGCAAAGCTCTTTTCTCCTGGCTGTTGTTCTCGTGTGTTAGTTTTTCCTGCAAGCTCCAGTTTAGGTCAGAGCTATTTGAGCAGAGCTCTCCCCTTCCCCCGTGCCAGGGGGAGCTGCTCCCCAGGCTGAGCTCCTGGGGGCTGTCGGTGTTCCACCCCGGGGAAGGGACCCTGGGACACAGCGAGATAACGAGCACAACACGGAGCAAGCTGTGGCCTGGGAATCCTCCCCTCAGGAATCCTCCCTGCCCTCTTGCTGCTTTTTTATGGAGCTGTTTCCGCATTATTTTTTCTCTCAGTTTTTTTCTCTCCAGCTACTGCACTTGTGGAGCAGGACAGAGTCTGGTCTGGGCTGGTGAAGTGCTCGGTGTCAGGCCAAACCAGGACAGTTCAGGGCTGGGATCCTGTCCCGGTGCCTTTGCTGCCTCATCCCTCCCAGGTCAACACAGACTGTTGATTATTCTTCTGCACCATGCTCAAGACTGGCCAAAACGTGGTTTGAGATCAACAGAACTGCAGCTCTGCCATTTGGAGCAGTGGGATGGTTACAGCTGGACGTGGCTCTTGGTGCTCTAGGGAGGGATAGTCACAGTTCTGGGAGGGCTTTTCCAACCCTGGTGGTTCTGTGATTCTGTTCTATGGCTTTGGGACACTTTACTCTGCCTGTGGGAGCCAGGAGAACCATGGAACCTTTCTGCCTGCCTGGCTCACAGCCAGCCTCCAGCAGAGCACGGAGGTGCTGGGACACGCTGCCATCCCACCTGAGGGTGCCCCTGGGGATCCCCTCCCATCCCCGAGGGGCACAGCCAGCACCAGCAGGGCTCAGGTGGAAGGCAGCAGCACGTGGGCCTGAGAGTCAGGAAGTTTAGCCATTCCTACAATGTTTTGAACTCCTCTCTTTTTTTGCAAGAGAGCTTCCAGCCCCACCAGATCCCCAAGCCCATCCACACACACACCTGGCTCATCCAGTGCTGCTCACCTGCAGCACACCATGAAGACTTTAGGCAACTCCAAACTAATCTTCTGTATCATAGAGACAGAAAAAAAAGCTTCCTGAAGTCTTATGACCTTTCACAAGGCATGGATGGATTTTATTGCAGATGCTGCACATACATGACACTCACTGCAGAACAATGACGGGACATTAATTAGACTTGGCAAGCTGGTAAGGATCAAAGACTTCCAAAGAGAGGCACAAACAGCTGTTTTCTCACTGGGGATGGGCACAGCGCTCTGAACAAATGGATGATGGCTGAGCAGGTTTTTCAGAGGGGCTGAGAGTGCTCTGGGCCCCCCAAGAAGGCCTAATGAGAAATGCTGTGTGCAGGAAGGGAGGAAAGCACCATGCTAGGACATAACATGAGAGCTCACAGCTCTGGGTTGGGGGACAGCAGCCAGTGGTGCTGCAGCTCTCTCCTCTGGCAGTGAGCTGCAAGGATGGAGCACCAGGAGAGCAGGGCACCAGCTGACTGGGGAACCAGGCCAAGAGATCTGACCAAGGAACCAGTCCCTGGGGTGTGACAGACAGCCAGTTCCTGGGGTGTGACAGACAGCCAGTCCCTGGGGTGTGAGAGAGCCCCCAGTCCCAGGGGTGTGACAGAGCCCCAGTCCCAGAGATGTGACAGATAGCCAGTCCCTGGAGTGTGACAGAGCCCCCAGTCCCAGGGGTGTGACAGAGCCCCAGTCCCAGAGATGTGACAGATAGCCAGTCCCTGGAGTGTGACAGAGCCCCCAGTGCCAGAGGTGTGACAGATTCCCCAGTGCCAGGGGTGTGACAGAGCCCCAGTCCCAGAGATGTGATAGAGCCCCCAGTCCCAGGGGTGTGACAGACCCCCCCAGTCCCTCAGCTCTCTGGCAGAGCTGCAGGAGGAAGCTAGCAGTCAGGGGCACGCTTCCTGCACAGGGCCCTGAGCAGAGCCTCGCGGATGTGGGTGGATTTGATGCTGTAGATGACGGGGTTGAGGGCGGGGGGGATGATGAGGTAGGTGTAGGCCACCAGGGTGTTAACGAGGGGAGGAACGTTCCTGCCGAAGCGGTGGATCATGGACAGCCCGATCATGGGGATGAAGAACACCAGCACAGCGCAGATGTGCGAGACACAGGTGTTCAGAGCCTTCAGGCACTCCTCCTTGGTGGTGAGGCTGACGACGGTCCTGATGATGAGGATGTAGGACAGCACGATGAAGACGAAGTCCGTCCCCACCGTGGACAAGAGAACGATCATGCCGTAGAAGACGTTGACCTTGATATCTGCACAGGCCAGGTTCATGATGTCGGGGTGGAAGCAGAAGGAGTGGGACAGCTCGGTCCTGCCGCAGTAGCTCAGCCTCTTGAGCAGGAAGGGGATGGGCAGCAGCGAGAGCACCCCCCTGAGCACGATGGCCAGGCCTATCTTCAGCACCGTGCTCGTGGTCAGGATGGCCGGGTGCCTCAGCGGGTGGGAGATGGCGATGAAGCGGTCGAAGGCCATGGCCAGGAGCACGGAGGACTCGATGAAGGACAGGATGTGGATGAAGTACATCTGAGTGAGGCAGGCGTCGAAGCCGATGCTGCGCACGCCGAACCAGAAGAGGCCCAGCGTGGTGGGCAGGGTGCAGAGGGCCAGGCCCAGGTCGGTGATGGCCAGCATGGACAGGAAATAATACATGGGCTCGTGGAGACTCGGGGTCCTCCTGATGATGAACAGGATCACGCAGTTCCCCAGGAGGGCAGAAAGGTAGAGGGCACAGAAGGGGATGGAGATCCAGGGGTGAAGGGCTTCCAGGCCCGGGATGCCCATCATGAGGAAAGCTGAAGGCTGATAGAAGGAGCCATTGAGTTCCCACGGGGTGTGTGAGTCATGCTCCATCCCAGCTCAGCTCTCACATGGCCTAGACCTAAAACAAACCAACAACAAAACCCCGCGCTGCTGGACTCTGTGCTGAGAGGAGGAGCTGCACATTCCTGCACCTCCCCAGCAGCCTCGGCAGGGATCCCTGAGCTGGCTGGGAACAGGGCTCCTGTTCACCCATTGAATCCCAAACTGAGGGACACACGGGGCTGCACTCCTGTTCACCCATCGAGTCCCAAACTGAGGGAGACATGTGGCTGCACTCCTGTTCACCCATTGAATCCCACACTGAGGGAGACACGTGGCTGCACTCCTGTTCACCCATTGAATCCCAAACTGAGGGAGACACATGGCTGCACTCCTGTTCACCCATCAAGTCCCAAACTGAGGGAGACACGTGGCTGCACTCCTGTTCACCCATTGAATCCCAAACTGAAGGGAAAGGATGGACAGTTTTTGTTTGAAAAGAGGGGGGAAAAAGAAATACTTGAAATGCTTTAGAATGAAAAGGAGAACATTCCACTATTTCAGAGTCATCCCCAAATTCCAGGGTTTGAGATGCTCTGTGGAGTGAGCAAACGCCTTTTCCAAGCTCATCCCAACAATGACCAGGCTGCTAAGCCAAGGCTGCTTTTTTTTTATGACAACTGGAGATCAAAAGGTGTAAAAATTGTAAAAGTTTAGCCCTGACACTTCTTATTTAGGAAATCAGCCCTGGAAAGAAATGCAAAATTTGTTGGCATTGGCACTGGCACTGGCACTGGCACTGGCACTGGCACTGGCACTGGCACTGGCACTGGAAGCCCAGAGAAGCTGTGGCTACCCCATCCCTGCAAGTGTTTACACCAGATTGGAGCAGCCTGGGCCAGTGGAAGGTGTCCCTGCCCGTGGAGCTGTGGGAACAGGATGGTCTTTAAGGCCCCTCCCAGTCCAAACCAGTCTGGGATTCCACGATTTCCAACAGAACAGAGAATCAGACCCCCTGAAGATGGGTCCCAGGGCAAGGGGGATTTTCAGAGCAACTCACACACCCAAGCCCTGCTCTTTTCACAACCTTACTGCCAGGATGAGGGGAATAAATGAGCAAAACCCCACAGGGCCACAGGCTCTGTGTGGGGCCTGGGACGCCTGTGAGAACGGGCAAGCACAAGGCAAAGCAGAAGGCAAAGCACAAGGCAAAGCAGAAATGTTCCAGGTTCAGAGCCCTGGGGAGCAGCCTGGCAGGTCTCTGGGGGTGAACTGGAGGGCAGGGGGCACAGGGGGTGTTTGGCACAGAGCAGAGGGGAGGGAGGCTCGGCAGAGATCCAGCAGTGGGATGTCAGTGACACAGGTGGGACAGGTGGGTGCAGAGTGCCCTGGAACGAGAGATCCAGCAAAGAGGCAGGTTCAGCCCTGAGAAAAGGAGGTTTGTTTGAAGGGATCCTCCTCCAAGGGGGCATCAGGGAGGCTCTTCAGGACCAGGATCTTCACAGCAGAGCGTGGACGAGGGATGGGAGGCAGCAGGTGGCAGCTGAAACGAGGGGGTTTGGGCTGAATGAAGTGAGAAATGTTTCCCCATCGAGCACTGCAGCAGGTTGCACATCTCCATGCACAGAAGTTTTCAAGACCCAGCTGGACAGAGCCATGAGACGTTGCTGGCCTGCATGAGGCAGATGCTGGACCAGAGGTCTTCAGAAGTCTCTCCAACGTGAATTCTCCAATGAACCTCCGAGCCTTGGCACAATCCAGTTTCCTGCATTTCCTTGACAATGCTGACAGGGTCCCTCAGTGACACAGTGACCCTCTGGGTGGGTGGGGGAAGGCAGCAAATGGGCAAGATGAGCTAATTAATGCAAAAAATATTTGTGACTTCAGTCTTCCTGCACCTTCCACAGGATACAGAAGTGTTCCTGGATTTGGAGCCAGAGGGTTTGCCGTAACACAGCTCATCTTTGAATAACAGACAGTTCTTCCATGACGTATTTATTAGGGTCCTAATATGATTTTCTTCATTAGATTCTCAGCTTGAGAGTCTAATGTGACAATAAATCCTGAAGCTTAGCAAGGACAAGCATCTTCCTGCTCCGGGGGCAAAAGCAGCACATAACGGATGGGACCTGGGAAAACCCCAGATCATTTGATTTTCCCCAGGCAGGGCCGAGCTCTGTGTTGGTATCAGAGCCACCTGCCCTGAGCCGTGCCAGGTGCTGAAGGGACAATCTCAGCCCTTCCTCAGGAGAGCCTGGGCAGCACGGGGAGCTTGGGGCAGCTGGTGCAGCCCCTGATGGCCCCACAGAGCCTGGTGGCACTGCAGCAAACTGCCCACGGGTACCTCTGGCCCTCACTGCTGGCTCAGAGATCCCCAAAGGGAAAAGTGGCCTCTTTCTGCCAATGCAACAGCATCTGGAGGGTGTGAGGCCCTGGCACAGGGGGTCCAGAGCAGCTGGGGCTGCCCCTGGATCCCTGGCAGTGCCCAAGGCCAGGCTGGGCACTGGGGCTGGAGCAGCCTGGCACAGGGGAAGGTGTCCCTGCCATGGCAGGGGTGACATTGGATGAGCTTTAATGTCCCTTTCTGCCCAGACCATTCCACAATCCGGTGATAGGAGAAGTGAATTAACTCTGCTGACTCCTGCAACTCAGCCACCTCTGGGGCCAGGGTTAAAAACCTGAAAAATCTGAGTGTGTGCAGGCCTGTGTCCCCGAGCACAGCGGCTGGCAGGCATCCAGAACTCTCAAAGACACAGATTCAACAGTTCTCCAGGAATATGGAGGTGGGAAAAGAGACTGTTGAGCACCAAGGAAAGAGGGGACTGGTGAGAACTCCCTGGGTCTGCAGGAGATGCTTCACTCATAAGAAAACCTTCCCTCAAACCTTTGTCCAACACCAGCAACTCCCACCACAGTGCAGAAGTCACTCAGAAACAGGATTTATTCACTCTGCTCCCCCCTGAGCTGCTCTGGTTTGTTATGTGCCCCACCACATTACAGATTCCACTCCCAGACGGTTTTACCCCTCCATGTTCCACCTGTGTCACTGTAAGGGATGTGTATAAATAAACACCTGTACAATGTGTGAAATATATAAACAACCAGGCAGGCTTGCTCCTGTTGATGTGCATTTCTGTGTGTGTGGGTAACACACAGCTCAGCTCACAGCAGGCACGTGCCTGTCACAGAATCACAGAGCCACCAAACCAGGCTGGAAGAGATCTGCTGGCTGGCTTTCATGGGGTATGAACATGAATTCGTGGCAATGGCACCTTTCTTGTGCAGCCAAGCCCTGGGGAGGAAGCAAACTCCCATTCCTGGAGGACAGCAGGTCAGTGATTGCTGGCGGCCCTGGAGGGGGCTGCTGAGCCTCAGGAGAGCCTGGCAGCACGGGGAGCTTGGGACAGCTGGTGCAGCCCCCGATGGCCCCACAGAGCCTGGTGGCACCACAGCAAACTGCCCACGGGTACCTCTGGCCCTCACTGCTGGCTCAGAGATCCCCAAAGGGAAGAGTGGCCTCTTTCTGCCAATGCAACAGCATCTGGAGGGTGTGAGGCCCTGGCACAGGGTGCCCAGAGCAGCTGGGGCTGCCCTGGATCCCTGGCAGTGCCCAAGGCCAGGCTGGGCACTGGGGCTGGAGCAGCCTGGCACAGGGGAAGGTGTCCCTGCCATGGCAGGGTGGCACTGGATGAGCTTTAATGTCCCTTTCTGCCCAGACCATTCCACAATCCTGTGATAGGAGAAGTGAATTAACTCTGCTGACTCCTGCAACTCAGCCACCTCTGGGGCCTGGGTTAAAAACCTGAAAAATCTGAGTGTGTGCAGGCCTGTGTCCCCGAGCACAGCGGCTGGCAGGCATCCAGAACTCTCAAAGACACAGATTCAACAGTTCTCCAGGAATATGGAGGTGGGAAAAGAGACTGTTGAGCACCAAGGAAAGAGGGGACTGGTGAGAACTCCCTGGGTCTGCAGGAGATGCTTCACTCATAAGAAAACCTTCCCTCAAACCTTTGTCCAATACCAACAACTCCCACCACAGTGCAGAAATCGCTCAGAAACAGGATTTATTCACTCTGCTCCCCCCTGAGCTGCTCTGGTTTGTTATGTGCCCCACCACATTACAGATTCCACTCCCAGACGGTTTTACCCCTCCATGTTCCACCTGTGTCACTGTAAGGGATGTGTATAAATAAACACCTGTACAATGTGTGAAATATATAAACAACCAGGCAGGCTTGCTCCTGTTGATGTGCATTTCTGTGTGTGTGGGTAACACACAGCTCAGCTCACAGCAGGCACGTGCCTGTCACAGAATCACAGAGCCACCAAACCAGGCTGGAAGAGATCTGCTGGCTGGCTTTCATGGGGTATGAACATGAATTCGTGGCAATGGCACCTTTCTTGTGCAGCCAAGCCCTGGGGAGGAAGCAAACTCCCATTCCTGGAGGACAGCAGGTCAGGGATTGCTGGCGGCCCTGGAGGGGGCTGCTGAGCCACGTAGCATGGAGAGGGTGTCTGCTGCCCTGGAGACACCCTCTGTGCCTGGCCTCTCTCCTTGTGCCAGGGAGAAGAGGCCAGGCACCAGGGTAGAGCCCTCGCTGAGGACACCGTGTCCCTTCTCATGCCTTTAAAGCCACCTCCAGACTTTTTGCCTGTCTCTGACTTTGATGCTCACCAGTAACTCAAAATGCTGGTGTTTGAAGGGCTCTGTCAGCGAGGGCAGGAGCAGGGCCCCGGGAGCTGGGGCTGGGTGAGGCTCAGAGCTCTGCTCCTTCCCAAAGAGGAGACCTTGCTGTTCTCACAGCAGCGTCCCTGCCTGCCCAAGCAACCAAGTGAGGGCTCAGCAAAGGGAGCAGCATCAGTGTTGGAGTTTTGGAAAACCAAAAATCAACAGATCAGCAGGGGCACCCTGGGGATGCAGCTCCCAAAGAGCCCCATGGCCTGGTGACACTGGAGGCCAGGACAGGGACCATGGCCAGGACAGGGACCATGACCAGGACAGGGACCATGACCAGAGCCATTCCCACGGCTGACACGGCCCCCCAGGAGTGGGAGAGCAGCTGGATCTCACTCACACCAGGCCACAGCCCATCAGCACCACCAACAGCTCTACACGAGACACCAACAGCCCCCCCTCCACACATCCCACCTGTGTCACCACGGAGCCACGGGGACCACCAGAGTGGCACTGGGGCCAGGGGGACCACAGTGACAACCCGAGTGGCACTGGGGCCAATGGGGACCACCTTAGTGGCACTGGGGCCATGGGGACCACAGGGACAACCCAAGTGGCACTGGGGCCATGGGGACAACCCAAGTGGCACTGGGGCCATGGGGACCACCTGAATGGCACTGGGGCCATGGGGATCACGGGGACCACCCAGGTGGCACTGGGGCCACCACGGAGCCACGGGGACCACCTGAGTGGCACTGGGGCCATGGGGACCACAGGGACCACCCAAGTGGCACTGGGGCCACCATGGAGCCATGGGGACCACCCGAGTGGCACTGGGGCCACAGCTGCCACCCGTGTCCCTGTCCCAGCAGAGGGGCTCAGGAGTGCCTGCACTTACCGAGGGTGCCGGGGGCTCTCAGGCTCAGCGGTGTCGAGGAGCAGAGGGAGATCCCGTGCCCATGTCCGTGCCCGTGCCCTCACCAACAGCCTGTCCGTGTCCCTGTCCCTGTCCCTGTCCATGTCCCTGTCCCTGTCCCTGCCCGTGCCCAGGGCAGCCCTTTTAACGCTGACCCTGCCCAATCACCCGAGCCGCGAGCCCCGCTCGGTGCGCAAACAGCGGGAGGAGTGTGTGCAGTAAATGAGCATTTCCATTTATGCTGCTCTCCCAGCAGGCAGGATTTTCTCCTGATAGTTTATTGGTGACATGTTTATGGCTCCCGGTGATTTATGGCTGGCAGTGCTGCAGCCACGGTGCTGGCAATACACATAATTTTTATTGGGAGGGTAAATCTGTAGTGGAAGTCATAAATTTTGCAAGAGGAGTGCTTGCAGCATTGCTCCGAGGGAATGACAGAGGGGAAGTTCTGGCTGTCTCCCCTTGACCGGTGAGACACCAAATGTTTAATTAAAATCATAATATATTGCACAATAAAAACAAACTACATGTCACAAAGGCAAACACAGCCCCAGGTGTCCCCTCGGGTGGCCCAGGAGCCGTCCGTGCCAAGGTGTCTTGTGGCAATAGATTTATCTTTGCCCCCTCAGCTGTGGGGTGGAAACTGAATTTAACCAATACTTCTGTGCCTGAACCAGGCCAGGGAGAGCAGACGGGTTTGTCTCACGTGAGGTGTCTGTAGAAAATGCAGCCTCTGGCCCTAAATGACACCTCTGTAAACCCATGTGTGCTGGGGCACTGCCCTCCGTGGACATCGGGAAATTCACAGAGTCCCAGGATCACGACATTGGAGAAGTGTCCCAGACCACTGAGTCCAACCTGTGCCCGAACCCCACCTTGTCCCCAGCCTAGGGCACTGAGTGCCAGGTCCAGGCCTCCCCTGGGCACCTCCAGGGATGAATTTTTGTAAAGGTTTACACACAGGAGGACAGCACAAGAGGATCAGCCCCAGGCTGGGCCAGGGCAGGCTCAGCTGGGCCAGCAGCAGGAATTTGCCCATGGAAAGGGTGCTCAGGCCTTGGCAGGGGCTGCCCAGGGAGCTTGGCAGTGCCCATCCCTGCAGGTGTCCCCTGCAGGTGGCACTGAGTGCTCTGGGCTGGGGACAAGGTGGCCATGGGGCACAGCTGGCACTGCCTGGGCTGGCAGGGCTGTGCCAGCCCCGGGGATTTGGGATTCTGGGATTCCATGACCAAACCTCCACCCCTTTTCCTTCCCTCCTCGCCCTCCCTTCCCGCCCTGCTCTCAGCCCTGACCCCTGAACTCTGCCCTGCAGGGTCAGTTTTTGGGGACTGGCTCAGCCTCACATCACAAACACTGCCGGTGCCAAGGGGAGGCTGTGCCCCCCCCAGCCAGCTCCTGGGAACGCTCCTGTTATTTTCCTAAAGATGGGAAAACAGATGAAAGTCACTCACACCCTCCCCATGTGCAGCAGAACCCCTGGGAACGGGAGTTAAACAGAAAACCACCAGAGTGGCTGGTGGGAGCAGAGCAGGGAGACATCCCTGTGGGAAGCTTGGTGCAGGGAACTCCCGAGGCACAGAGCAGAGGAACTGCGACATTTGGAGCACACGGGGTGAGATGAATCAGTCTCACGCTGTGCTGTAGGGTGGTTAAAGGAATTGTGGCTGCCCCAGCCCTGGGAGGGCTCAAGGCCAGGCTGGAGCATCCTGCCCTATGCAAGGTGCTCCTGCCCATGGCAGGGTGCAGCAGGATGGGTTTTGGGGCTCCTCTGCAGCCAAACCACTCTGGAGTTTTATTGAGTAAACTAAAGAATCCTCATCTCGCCGTGCTGCCCCAAGAGTGGCTATTAATGGCCATTTAGGGAGCTCATTTTCAGCTTATCATCCCCTTGGCACGTGGCCCAGCATCTGGCAGTCCATTCAGAGGTTTCCTGAGCAGAGCAGCACCTCACCACCGCCTTTCATGGAAAACAAAACATTTCTCACCCGTGGGCTTGTCTGATCCTTTTGCACATCCTTTGGGATCCCACCACATCCAGCAGTGATGGGTTCCATAATTCCACTATAAGCTCTTTTTTAAAATTACTTTTTTACTTGATCAAAATCAAAGAAAGGTTTGTGCTGGCAGCAGCCTCAAATACCAGTTAGGAATATTCTTTAATGTACCTTTATATGTTGATATTTTCAGGGCATGTTCTCCCCTTCCTGGTTCATGTAGTGTGAGTGAAGCTGAATAATGATTCCAGAGGGATCATCTCCTCCCCATTTTTTATCTTACAGACCCTTCCCGTATTCCTTTATTGTCTCTGCTCAGGGCTGAAAATTCCTTTTCTGACAATCACAGGAGCTTCCTTAGAGTGGTCCACCTGACAGACTGAAATGTTGTAGGCTCCTTCCAACCAAATCTTCCCCTTCCCCTTCTCTTGCCTTCCCGTTTTCTCACTCTGCACAAGTCCCTGCCAGGAGGGGACAGGAGCAGAGGGAACGGCCTCAGGCTGGGCCAGGGCAGGCTCAGCTGGGCCAGCAGCAGGAATTTGCCCATGGAAAGGGTGCTCAGGCCTTGGCAGGGCTGCCCAGGGAGCTTGGCAGTGCCCATCCCTGCAGTGTCCCCTGCAGGTGGCACTGAGTGCTCTGGGCTGGGGACAAGGTGGCCATGGGGCACAGCTGGCACTGCCTGGGCTGGCAGGGCTGTGCCAGCCCCAGGGATTTGGGATTGTGGGATTCATGATTTATGGACATTTTGTGACCTCTGCACTGCCCATGGATGAAGAGGCAGAGGGAGGTGCTCCCACTCCTGTTCCCAGCTGCAGAGGGGAGGCCCGGGGCAGGCCCAGGAGGGCAATGGTGACTCTGGCTGGAACCAGCAGCAGCCCCAGTGAAGCCAAGGGCGAGCAGCCACTTTGCTGGGCTGCCATGGGCCCCCACACCCTCCTGTGAGCGCATGAGCTGCTCAGGGGCAAACATTGACACAGTTAATGGCTGGCTTGGCCCATCAGGGAAACAACCAGCGGGGCTCAGGGCAGGCAGAGGGCACAGGCAGTGGGGCTGCACGGCAGCAGACTCCGCTTTTAGTGCACGGGATGGAAAAGCAAACAGCCCAGAGACATCTGCAAACAGCGGCTTCTGCTTGCAGAGAGGGCAGAGAGGTTCAGAGGCACAGCCGGGCGTCCTGCTGGAAACAGGCCCAGAGCCCACCCTGCCAGGCCCAGAGCTGCAGGTGAAAGGGACCCAAAGCTCTCAGACAGAGCCCCAGGAGGGACACGGGGGTGGGGAAGGGCCTGGAGGGCCCCGAGGTGCCTTGGCCAGCCCAGCCTGGAGCAGCCTGAGGGCAGAGCTCCCCGGGGCTGCAGCTCCTCCCGAGGGCAGCGCAGGGACAGCTCCAGCTCTGCTCTGGGACAGGGACAGCACCAGGGAGCGCCTGGGGCTGGGCCAGGCCAGGCTGCAGGGCAGGGAAAGGCTCTTCCCCAGAGGTGCTGGCACTGCCCAGGCTGCCCAGGGAATGGGCACGGCCCCGAGGCTGCCAGAGCTCCAGGAGCCTTTGGCCAGCGCTGCCAGGGGTGCCCAGGCTGGGCTTGGGGGTTCTGGGCAGGGCAGGGCTGGCACTGGGGGGTCCCTGGGGGTCAATCCCACTCAGGACATTCTGGGATTCTGAATAACACGTGGGATGCAATAAATTCTCCCTGATGGGGAAGGAATGTCAGGCAAAGCTGTGCCAGTCCTGCTGCTGGGCGGTCCCAGGGACAGCAGAGCCCAGCCCCAGCCCCAGCTCCATGCTGGGGGCTCTGGGACAAACAGGAGCCATTCCTGAGGGGAGCATTGCCCCCAGTCCCCCTGCAGCTGCCATCCCTAGCACAGCTCCACCAGCAGTGGCTGGCAGGGGAGAGGGCACAGCATGACCTGGAGACACCAGTGCTCTGCCAAAGCAACAGAAAAGTGTCACTGAAAAGCCAGCTTTGATTTCTGGAGCCCAAAACAGGCCAGGTGGATCCAGGTGCTTGCCAGGGACAGGGACAGCTCCGGCCTGCTCTGCAGGAGGATTTCCTTCCTATAAAGAATCCATTTCAGGGTCTCCAGCTTGCCTGGATCACGGAGGCAGGGTTGAGGTGCACGAGTGGTGTGTGCATTTCTCATTTTTCTTTGCCCTGTTTCACAAAGTTTAAAAATATGAAAATTCCAGAATACAGAATCATAGAGTCCCAGGCCAGTTTGGGTTGGGAGGGACCCTAAAGCTCACCCTGTTGCACCCCCTTCCACCAGACCAGGCTGCTCCAAGGCCCTTCCAGCCTGTCCTGGAACACTTCCAGGGATATAATTCTGAAAAGGTTGAGAAGAGTCCGTGTTTTGATCTCCTCAACAGATCTTATGTTCTGCAGTTTGAAGTAGTTTCATTCTCATAAGGCCAAATGTGTCCATTCTCCTTTATCACTCTGTTTTAATGGGATTTTTGGAAAATATTGCAGCAGGCATCTCACTAACAACGCAAGGAAATGAGGGCAGAGCTGTGAGGAGAGGCACTAACAACATTATGCTGCAATTCTGCAATGATTTCTCCAAAATAAATCACTGGGTTGTCATCAAACTGGTCAAAATTCAATCTGGCAAACCATTATCAGATGATTCTTCTTCCAGAAGGGACGGGAGAAAGATCCAGGGGAATTTATGGCCAGTACATGAGCAGCTGTGATGCTGAGTGATCTCAGAACCTGTGCTGCTCATGGGGAGGTGGCTTTGGGCTGGTGTCACACTCCAGCTGTACCTCTGGGGGCCCCTGTGGCTCTGCCAGGAGGGCACAGCCGGGGGACAGCAGCTCTGCTGCCAGGGAACAGGGACAGGAGCAGAGGGAACGGCCTCAGGCTGGGCCAGGGCAGGCTCAGCTGGGCCAGCAGCAGGAATTTGCCCACGGAAGTATTGTCCAGCCCGGGAGCAGTTGAGGGTTTATCTGTGCATGGCCTAAAAAGCCATAAACACTTGCCATGGTCCCACGCCCCAGGGAAACCAGAGACAAAGGGTTTGGGATCTGGGATGTGGGGTTTGGGCTGGGATTTGGTTTGAGGTTTCCTTGTTTGA